AGCAGAACGTTAGAGATTGAACTTATAGATTCTGCAGAGTGGGAGAATAGAGATAGAATAAAGCAGAATGATGAAATAGGGGTCCCTGATTCATTAGTGCATTCAGCAGCCTACAGATCAGCTAACTCCCTTTATTCACTGTAAATGTTAGCTTCATTTGTTTATAAATGTCTCTTTTATTGTTTCGTTTATTTGTTAAACAATTGTTATCATTGTGTTGTTTTCATCATGTAAAATGATGAATACGAAGCAAATCAAGCTGGAAAATTGGCAGCTCATATCAGGGAATCAGTTACACTGATGTTAAAATGATGGTCAGCTTTAACGATCCTGCTTCAGTGGATGACCTGGTCTGAGCTTTGGGTTTCTGTCTCTGTTTAGAGTACAAGAAGGCCAGAGCAGACATCAAGAAGAAGTCATCAGACACCATCAAACTGCAGAAGAAGGTGAAGAAAGGTGAGTTCTGTTCATTCATCACTAAAATCACCAACGGTGAATCGCTGTGATCCAGGTCTGTTTTCTGTCTGCTGTCAGGAAGAGCAAATAATCCTTCTGGAAGCATGTTTCATGTCTGCAGACTGCAGCAGATGATAAAGTCTTTTCTGTCGTGGTCTAAAGGTTTTTACCAGGAATGATGAACAGACAGGAACAACACGTCCCTGTTCCTGATGCCTCTGCAGACAGGAAGCTTGTGCTCTGGGTTTAGAAACGGCTGTTAGCTGCAGCCGATCAGCTGACTGACGACTATCGATCCGTTCTCGGCTGCGGGGAGACGATTATGGACCGTAAACTGATGCTTGTTAGTCTTGACTTTGGCTTTGTTTGTGCTGATGTGGTCTACCTTCGACCCGGCTTTGTCAGAAGTTGCATAAATGTTACAAAGACGAAGTCGTGTGCGTTTGTTTTCAGCGTGGGGTTGTCCCCTGCACCGGGGTAATCCTGTTTATGCTGTCAGAGCAGAGTTAGGCTTGTTGGTTGGAGCTTTGCCACAGAAACCAAGACTGTGCTTCACAAACACCTGGTCCACACCCTTCCCTGCTATCAGAGGACACACCCTGCTGTTGCCATGGCTGCGCTCAGATCCCATAATTAAAAAAAAAAAAAAAAAAAAACTGAAACCTTGTAAGGAAAACTGTGAGACGTGCGTTTGTTACAACAGGTCCAACCCAGAGATCATCACCAGACTGTTCCTGGATTACTTCCGGGATGTTCCGATCCGACTGCGTTCCTCACAATGTTGCTGGGCAGAACTCAGAGAAAGATGACTCAGATAATGATAATGTTCCACAGAAGTGTTTGTTTTATCCTCCTGATGTTAATGAAGCTGCTCTCGCTGCAGTTCAACCCCTCTGGAGCTGTTAAGCAAGCTCTGCACCGGTGGGAACGGACTTAAAGACACTCGGTGTGATCTGAATATGTTCAATAGTCTGATGGTGTTTGACTCAGAGTGATGATGGCTGCATGTTTTAGCTGCTAGCAGAAAATGACCATGATCTCAACCAGGCTTTTAGGTTTTAGCTAGGAATACACCGGTCCGGGGGGTAACCCCCCCCCCCTAAAATGTTGAAATTTAGACTC